CTCCCAATCTCGCTTGCCATATATACAAATACATATGTATAATATACAATTATCTAACATATATACATATACAATTCACCTTTCTCCCACTCTTTGGCCCCCTCTCTCTCGCCTCTCTCATCTCTCTCCCAGTCTCACTCGCCTCTCTGCTCCATATAACATGTAGATATGAATTGTAATTATCAAACTATAGCTATGGAGAGTAATTGGGCTATTTTTGAGTGGCTATATGTGAAAGTTCCCCAATTCTTATCTCATTATGAAAGGTAAAATAAAAAGTTTTATAACATTAGATTTACTACTAAACAAATAAAAATATCATTTTTTGAGACCGAGTAAAAAGTAAAAAATATCACATAAATTGAGATAAAGAAAATACTAGATTCTTTTATTTTTTGAATCTCCATGTAGAATATCTAACTTGATTGTTCGGGGAAATAACTCAATGATAAAAAAGAAACATATAAATACAAAATAATGAAAAATTGATTTATTGATTTCTTAATTTATTAATTAATTCAATCTATTTTTTCCTATGTAGAATGGAACTTAAAAACTATAAAGAAAAATTAACTACTTATGTCCTTTTTTTTAGCCGTGTAATATTTTTTTTTCACAAGCCGTAAATATTGCATTAACAATAATAGGGGGAGGTGGTTTTAGTTAATTTCATTTAAGCTCTAGCTTCAAGAAAAGGACCCATGGGGACTTGCAGTCTATATACCAATCTCATAATCTTAATATCTCATATATAAGAAAGGTGTCACATTTTCTTTCTCAAAAAGATAGTATTTCTCCACTTTCTCATATTTCCATGACCAATGATATGTTGCATGAGTTTGAATGCATCACAACACATACTACACATAGGTATAATTAGTTCACCAAGGACTTCACATAGCATCAAGTTCCCAAACTCATCAAGTTATGAAACATATTCTTAAATGATAGGGATAGTGGAGGAATCCATTTGAAATCAGTCTTTACCACTTAGAAAACATTGCTTTCATTTTAAAATATTCAAAAGTCAACTCAAACTCCTCACTTGGGCATCTCAATGTCAAGTATAAGGATAAACCACACAGCCCTTCGCTCGGGAAATTTCTCAATTATCACAGGCTTCCCACAACAATTAACAGAATCACACAAGCCTTCACACATGCTAAACATCACAAATAGGCATCATACGAACTACACAAAGAGGTCAACATTTATCAACTTCTAAGACTCATTATACTACTCATTTCACAGTTGACTTCCTAAGAACATGTTAATTACTCATCTCAATCTAAGAGAGGGATAGTCAAACCTACCTCAATGTCGAAACTTCACTCGAACAACCCAATCAGAGCACCTCCTCCACCACACAATCACCGAAATGATCCTCAACTATAAAAAATGAAAAGAGTTCATCAAAAGGAGTCCAATGATACCCATATTGATAGGATTTGAAACTGGGGGTAAAATAATTCAAAAATCACTTCGAAAATCGAAAGGAAAAAAATCAATTTCCTTTAGTTGAAAATCAAGTTCTACCAGCCAAGAGGAATTCATGGTTGAAAACACCCCTAAAAATGATCAAGAAATGGGTTCCAAATCAAGGTTTTACTAATTTTTCAACTTTGGGAGAAAAACCCCAATAACCCACTTTGAAATCAAAATTTTAAGAGCTTTCGGAAGATAAAAATTGGAGGAATTGGTAAATAATTGATAAGGGAACTTACCCAAATGAATCTCCTCAAGAAACCCCTAAATAATCTCCTCTCCTAAGCTCCCAACCGAGTGAAAAATGGGATGAATTCCTGAATATACCCTGTCAGGTCTG